GATAGTGAGTTATATTTAGAGTCAATTCCTTATTTAATTTGTTGTACTTAAAGATGTATTAATGTATAAATAAAAAAAATAAAAAACTATTCAAAAATACAGCAAAAAAGTGATATAAATTGTAGTCATTTATTTTAAATAGCATACTTATAGCTATTGATATTCATTAACCCTATAAATGTAGTTATTTTTGTAAGTTGCTCATTATTGTATTAGTTTAGGACAGGTGGAGGAATTGGGCCTAAGACCCAAATAGAAAATATTTTTATTATGTTAGAATAGAACATGTATAAATGACTTAAATGGGCCAAAAACCCAAAACTGAAATTAAGCCCAAGTACTGACCCAGACGGACAGGAAAATCAGACTTGGGCCCAAGTCTGACTCTTTATTTTATTGTGTTTGTTTATTTATTAATAATTGCTATCGATTTTAAGGTTTCGAAAATTCAAACCCTCAGAAGACACCCATTTTGAATTAACTACTTAACTAAATTATTCATTTTTCACTTGACTTAAAAGATAATTTTGCTAAAGATCCTACTTAGGTAATATCCCAATTCTCCCCATTTTTCCCTTTTAAAATGACCTCAACTATAAAAATGGTTCAATCTTTCAATTCAAGTTTAGTTAAATTACTTTAGCCAAATAATTAATTGTCGGATAACCGCGTATTAGCGGATATTTCGGGTGCTTTCAAACCCTTCCCAAAATGATAATATGAACCCCGAACCCCTTTGAATATTTTCATTAGATTTTTGTTTTAATCTTTTGAAAAAGTAGTTTTGTTGATTTTACTTTAAAAATTAAGTGGCGACTCTTAAAACCAATCTAATTCATTTTTAAATAAAACAAGTGTCACAAAAAAAAATTATTTGTATATTTAATAATGCTTGATAAAATCACAATAAAATAAAATTGTTTCAACTTATTAAATAGTATACTAGGGATTTCCTTTCAAACTAATGGAGCAAAACAATCTAAAATGCTTTTTCTTAAGTAATAATATCAACTGTATAAGTAGAAAAACAAAGCGCCTGTAGCTCAGTGGATAGAGCGTCTGTTTCCTAAGCAGAAAGTCGTAGGTTCGACCCCTACCTGGCGCGTTATTCATTATTTTTTTTTGTATATAAATTTTTCAATTCCTTTTGTTTATTAGGTGCATTATATTTCAATTTATGTCGATCAAATTAAACTCTATTTAAATAGTGTTTTCTACGCAATTTACTCCGTTCTGTTTGAATTGTCTTTTTAGCTTTTTTCACTCTCATTAGAAAAACTATATATACACTTGTACCATATTATAGGCTCAATTATGATGTTGCATTATCAAATAAGTTATTTTATATTGGCGGTACATAGATCTTAAAATTACATTAACATTTTATCCACTAAACATAACTCATTGTTTGAATTATCTTTCTTTACTCCTTCCATCCCATTTTATGTGACACTTTTTGGATTTCGAGATTCAAGCAAGTCTATCTTTGACCGTAAGTCTTCATAGATCTTTTAAACATTTTGAATTATCAATTATTGTGACTTATAGTACTTTTTATGCAGTTTACAAATATATAAATTTCATTTAAAAAAATTGAACATTCCGTGTGCAAATTCCCGATCAAACTTAAACTGTTTGACTCTAAAAAAATGAAAAGTGCCACATAAATTGGAACAGAGGGAGTAGCTTTTTTCAAGCTCATTAAAACAATTACTATATATACACTTACACCATATTATAGGCTCAATTACGATGTTTCAGTATCAAATAAGTCTGTAAACATGATTTATATCGCTGGTACATAGATCTTAAAAATACATTAACATTTTACCTACTAAACATAACTCAAAACTGAAAATGAAACACTCATGATGATTGAAACTCATGACACATGTTGCTCACTTAATTTAAAACTATTGAAAATTTGTTTTTAGAAAAAGAAAACTCAAGGCATGTGCTCTTCATCATTCTCATAGTTCACAAAGTTGTTGTTGTTGTTGTTGCTTAACTCATTGTTACCAATATAGGAGTTTGCAAATTCTCTTGATTTTTCATATGGATTCTTGACATACTTCTTTGTGTTGGGACTTTGTTCTTGATTGTTGTAATAGAAATTATTGCCACCATTCTTGTAGGAGGTGGCGGTCGCGTAGCCTTTGTCCATTAATCTTGGCTCATTCATGTCCTGCAACTGATCTTTTTTGATGTAGTAGTATTCGCGGCCATCACCATTTAGGTATGACTCTGTGGAAGTGGTCATGACCTAAATCCAAATTATAATAAGAGGCTTTGAACTTATTTCATAAAATTCATATACTAATGAAACAGAGAAAGACTAATTGAAAATATTTGAGCTTTTATACTTTTGTTAATTAATGGCCTTACCTTAGAGCCAGCCTTGCCACCATTGTGATATTGGTCGTTATAGGTGTTGACACTGTTGTAGTACTGATTATTGTTGTTGTTGTTGTCGTCATTATTGTCACTTTTGTAGTAGTGGTCGTAAGTGTTGCCATTAATATAATACTCATTATTATTGTTGTTGTCGTTATTGTTATAAGTATTGTCACCTATATAATAGTGGTCGTGATCAGAACTAATACCACGACCACTATTATAGCGTTGGTTGTTACTATTCATGGTGTTGGTTTCATCAGTGTTGTACTGAGGGACAGTAACATAAGCCACAGAGTTGTAATTCTTGGGAAGGTACTTGTTGTTAGGAATAAGGTTAGTTGTGCGGGTGGAAGGTGGCAATTGACCTAACTCATGACCATAAACACCATAAGCATTTTCATTTTTAGGAATGAAATTTGGTTCTTGGTTTTTGTTTGGAGTTACTACTACTTTTGTTTCTTTTTCAATATGATCATTGTTAATGTTGGTGGTGTGGATTTTGTTGAAGAATTGGTTGTCTCTAGCATGAATTTGGCATGAAGATAAGAGAGTAGTTAAGACTAAGAAGAAGAAGGATAAATGATTGGAAAAGAATTCCATGGAAAATGGTTGTGTAAGAGATAGAAATGATGTCAATGAATTGTATTGTGCTAAGAGTGTTGGTAACTCTCTTTATATAGAAACTAATGTGTCTTTTGAGTGTGTAGTCTATGTCTTCTCCCTAATAGTAACTTTCTAAGTTCTTTCTACTTTAATTTCCTTTCATCCTCTCTTTTGGTTTTGGGGTGGGATGGGGTGGGGGGTGAGAGAGTGATGAGTTTAGACTTTAGAGGTGGTAAAATCAGCGCATGAAAATATGATTCGTTTAAATTTGGGTTACTCATTGATTCGTCTATTTATAATTAGCTCAATTCAATCTATTTCAGCTTATTAAAAATGAGTTGATATGTTAGTTCAAATTGATCCATGAAAAATCTTGTCAAAATATTTTTTTTATTTGACATATTATATATATAGATAGCCATATTGAGGAGGAGGGTGGAGGGATAGTTTTATTAGGTATTAAATATTATAAAAGATCAAATAATGAGTTTGTTATTTACTAGATCGCAAATATTTCTGGAATACCTCTTACAAAAGGGATATACAGTTAATTTTAAAATAACTTCTATTTTCTACCTCTTTCAGATATGAATCTATCTCATTCGAAAGGAAAGAACTTGAATTAGTATCTCAATTCATCTTTTATTCAAAGTTCAATGCACTCTCTTATAGGAAAGAAACATGAGATGAAGGGTTGATTTGTCTTAGTGTGAGGGTGTGGCATGCCATGTTTATAAGAGCTAGGCTTACAAAAAGTTATAATTTAATATATTTATAGAGGGAGATAGATTCAAGATTTTAATTTTATATATGAATTCATGTTTAAAATATTTACAATTTCCTATTCAGATTTAGTTGGTTCGAAATATATTACTTGTATTTGAAAGTTTATTTAAAGTAATTGAATTCAAATGAACGTGTAACAACTTGTCGATTAGATTTACGCCGGAATATATCCATATTTCGCCATTTGTAGTTTTGCACTAGACGTGGTAGGGCAATATAAGGTAAGGTCTAGAGCAACATCCACACATGAGTAGTTATATTATATATATATATATATATATATATATATATAGTTTGGGAGATTTTTTTTGATACATAAAGTATTATGATACATCGAGCGACTTTGTCTATTTTTGCATAGGTAAATCTAGGGTTGTTCATGGTTATGGTTAAAAAATCAAATCGAATCGCAATTCGAATCAAATTGATTAAAAAATTGATATTTGGTTAGTTTGATTTTACATTTTGAAAAACCGATACTATTTAGTTTGGTTTTGGTTTTACTAAAAAATAACTGCAAAAATAACCAAACCAAACCGATAAATTAGATATATAAATTTTATAATTATTTATATATTATTCATAAATAAAATATAAATATTTTGTTAAATTTTAAGTAACTTAATTCTTTAACTTTACCATTTTCTCAAGCCAACACGTAAATTTTAGCCCATCTATTACAATCACAAGTCCAAGTCTATCAAAATTCATTATTTTAGTCTTTACCTACTATACCTTTCATAAGATAGTTACACATTCTCTTAATTGAATCACTTTGTTCGTGTAATGATAACTTTAGTATTGTTTAATTGCTTAATTGAATCAACAATATCTTTTTAGTGGATTGTTCATGTACTAGTGTGCATAAGTATAACAAATACTGCAACTACAAAAGAACTAGAAAAGATTATATAGCAAAAATTAGGCAAATGTTGAAGTTACAAGTCTCTCTTATGGTTTTATTTTATAAAAGAATAGACAATCTAGTTCTACGAACATGCTACAAAAATTTTCCGAAATGCATCTACACGATGACTTCATATCGCCAACATCATTGACATTACTATTAAGAAATGGTAGAACCAGAAGAAGCAGATTCAAGATTTAAACTTGACAGGTTCACCCTTTGAGATATTTTAAGCACTGAACTCATTGTACATTTAAAATTATGGGTTTAAAAAATATATTACTTTTTTTTTTAATCTATATTCCATATGTCGAGAATATTGAGTTCAATTGTCATACCCATTGTTTGATAGCTCCATATGCATCCGCCTTTTGAGTATAACAATATGTCTATTGGTTAGGATCTCTTTGTATTTCTTGAGCTAACTCCCTTGTCAACTTGTCAGCGCGATCATCTTGTCCACCAGCGAAACTATAGACTCTGAACGCGAACTGGAAGGCCTTCCATAACAGTTTACGTGATCCATTTTTCGATCCACCTCTTCTGTTTTCCTTTGTCTTTGCTTCTCTACTCTCCTGATTCAACATACAAGTAACTATAAAAAAAGGTTCACTAGATCATCATGGACCGGTTATTTTCACTCGAAATTATACTGCATACGACATATTACTAGCTAGCTACATTGTACTAACCTTTATGGCAAGTTCCATGCAGTTTGAGGAAACATCTATCATTAGTTCTTTGATACGAATGAGGATGCCGAAATCAAAATGAATGTTATGGCTTATAAATTTCTTGGCCTCTTCGTCTTTTGTTCGTTCCAATGTGTCAATTTCTACTTTGATCTACGCGACAGAATTATTTGTTAGAGCTACTATTATATGAGAGTATTTAAATTCAGGGACTTTAGTAATTTGTACCTTGTTAAAGTAACTCTCAGCTTTGTCAAGGTGTTCGCCAACAGGGGAGACTATCGACCAATTTCGTAGAGTAGTGGCTATTGTGTCTAACTTGGAATATAATGCTGCTCCCATTCTGAGTTCTTCCAACTTTTTCGTAGGAAAATCTTCAAATCTTGCTAGCACCTGTAGCAAGAAAGGTTGAGGCCAACATCGTCATATGGGAATAACGGAAGAAATATGAACTAAGTAGATAGATACTTCCTCTGTTTCAATTTGTTTGTCTTACTTTCCTTTTTAGTACGTTTCAGAAAGAATGTCACTTTCTTTAATTTTAATTTTCTACATGACATGTTTAAGACCATGAAAAAGGGCATTTTGGTACATTCTACATTATCTTATGTTTAGGACACAACGTTTAAAAGTTTTCTTTACTATCTTAAACTCAATGTCAAGTCAAAAACCAGACAAACAAATTGAAACGGAGGGACTATATACGAACCTGAGATTCATCGGTTAATTTCTCAAGGTGAGATTCTATATATCCGTGGAACTTAATGAGCTCAGACATGTCTGATGTTTTAAAAGAAGTAATGGCTGTGTTTATCTCCTTGATTGTTTTCGCGTAATTTTTAACATCCTCTTCAATTTGATGGAAATATGCTGACCTGATACAAACATTGCACATTTTAAAATATAACTCAAACTCCTGAAAAATGCGAAATTCCACGAAATAATGAGTGAAGATTTTAAACAAGATTACCTCTTTGTCATCTCTGCTAATGCATCAGCCATTCCCTGTTTACCTCCTGCTGAGGCACCAACTTTTCCCATTTTGTGATGTGATGTACTATCTAAACTAGAGCCTTCAACTTGGAGCTTGAGAAGTCGATAAAGATTACCCATTTGCGTTGATCTTTTCAATTTAGTGGCTGCTCTCTTGACTAGTAACACACCTATAAAACCTATTAGTGGTGGAGGTGCCGGTCCTTTTCCCTTTGGCATGGGTGGAGGTGGTGCTGGCACTGCTCCATTTGAAGCCATCGGTGGTGGTGGACGTGTCATACCCTTTGATCCAATGGGAGGTGGTGGTGGAGGTGGAGGTGATATTACATTTCTGGATGTCATCAGTGGCGGCGGTGGTGGAGGTGGAAGTGTTATTATATGTGTTGTTGTCTTAAGTGGCGATGGAGGTGCTGGGGGAGGAGGCAGAGACGGAGGTGCTATTACATTTCCGGATGTCATGGGAGGGGGTGGAGGTGGAAGTGTTATTATATTGGTTGTGGTCTTAGGTGGCAATGGAGGTGGTGGAGGCACCATCATGGGATGTAGTGGTAGTGGGGGCGGAGACGGAGGTGTAACTATGTTTCTGGATGTCAAAGATGGTGACTTTATGACATTTGAAGATAATGTGAATGGTGCTAGTGGAGCTGTAGCTTGTTCTTCGACATTTGATCTCAACTCAGGGAGTGTAGATGGAGGTAAAACCAAGTCTAACGAGACACGACTTGACAATAGCTGATTATTTGTAGAACCAGTCCGACAAGTTCCTCCGTTTTCTGATACATTATCCATATCAGTTAGTAGAATATCTGCTGAGTCCAACATTTCGAAATCTTGGCCAAATTCATAAGCATCCCCTGCTTTCACTTCAGAACCAACCTTTGCTTGTATTTCTGATTTTTGCTCACTGAAGTTGGTTGCTAGCTGAACAACATAATTTGGATCTTGATCTATTGCATAAGGGAGCAAGTCAAAATAGAGGCGTTTTACATCGATAGGATTCAACTTCTCAGTTTCTTTAGCCTTGACTTCACTCTTCAGTGAAGCACTAATTGCTGAGGAGAGGACTGAAGTTGGGGTAGGTGGAGGGCTTGAGAGGGAAGACTCGTTGTCCGAATGAGACTCCGGAAGAGCCCTCTCAAATGCATCGGATGAAGGACTTTCATCTCTCGTCTGGTCATCCTCGTCCATCATATCAAACACCCTTTCAGTGGCTAGTTTAATCATCTCGTCAAGCAATACCAATCCTGAAAAGTAATCGTTGAAGATATAATTAAGTAAATAAAACACGCCATATCTACCAACTCAAACTACCTATCAAATGAAACAATAACACAATTCAGTACTCAGAGCAAAGAGGTAAATAAACAACGTCTACATAACATTATGACGTACCATAACGTCTTAGATCATTGTGGAGATTACTGTACTCCTCGTCCAATTTCATTATGAATTCATCATCACCCGTCCATATTGCCCCGATTGATTTCAAAGTATCACAAAAGCATTGTAGTGCCTAATATAAACATGACAATTTTGTGATCAAAGATACGATCTGCTATACGAAAACTGGTTTAAGTGTAAAGTACACAATTCAGTGAGTAAATAGGTAACCTGATCCATTCCTGCTCCATCAATACTTGACAATGGAACATTCGTGTTGACGGAAGGATACATTTTATGCAGATCCTTCAGCGTTAATATCAGCAGCTGTCGAAAATTACTCATATATAAGAGGAGTTAAAATGACTTGTCATTGTTCTTATCTGAACACTACAAGAAAACTGCAAATTGCATCAAAAGTGACAGAACAATACCTCATTTAGGGATGCAGAGCCAAAACACGGCGATAAGTCAAGCAAATCTCTCAAGGTGAGGATCTTGCTCCTGAGCGCTGTCATTATAACGAAGTTGCCTGCCACCCCACACGAATTGTGAACTCTGGAGCCTTTGGTTGCACTTGCATTAAAACTTTTCGAGACTACTATGGAGGATGTTTTTTCGGTTTCATGCATTTCATCTTCCTGTCAATACAAAAGTCGTTACTCTCCGTGATGTACTATCAAATGCCGAAAAATGCAACTTCTTTTTGAGTGTTTCAATCCCTTTAATTTACTCCACGACAGGAAGATCATCGATATATCCAAATACAAGGATGAACAACTTCAGTTTCAAGGTAAAAGATATTTCTCAAAGCTTAAAACTTTTAGACGAGGTGATCACTGATCACACAATTCAACATGATAACAAAGCAGATCTCGTCTTGGGTACAAGATAGCCTCATAGTCACCCATCATCGACAACAAAAAAAATCAATGTGATTAGCCTAAGAAAAAGAGTCATGCCCGCACGTAAAAGGACACATGGATGATATAATTAAATATTCAATAGAATTCTCTATCTTACGATTTAAGCTTTTAGATAAGGTGATCACACAATTCCCAACATTCCGTTCTTAACAAACTATTCTTATTGAAGTTGCGCTACATCATGATCGCGCGGAGTTTTCCAAGTCCACACATAATTAAATAACTAAGAGTATATGCTCTCTCTAGCACAACTTACGTTTTAGAGGTGGCAATACAATTCAACATGATAACATAGCATATAGAGGCCGAGGTTATAAGCTAGCCTAATCGTCACCCATTGTCAAAAAAAATACACAAGCTTTGGCCTAAAAAATACACAATATGCTCTATCTAACAATTTAAGCTTTTAAATGAGATATTTAGATAATTCAATATTTTTTATCAATGCACACTAAAATTCCTAGATATGATCTTGGACCAGCTTACGCACAACTCGACTAATTTCACAAAGTATTTCCTTCCCTCCACCAATATAAGTATCGGATAACTATGTCCACTCAACCTTTGTTTCTTAGCATGCAACATATTGAAATAATGAAAACACAAATTCAAATAGTTTCTTTTTCACATAACAAATGCAGAAAAAATAGCACATTCTTCAATATTATAACCACATACAAAGGTCATTTTTCCTTTTAAAGGAGAAATGAGGAAGGGGATTACAAGGCGGATAATAGAATATTTATGAACAAATAAGGTAAAAAATCCAGGTAACCAAACAACTGAGCTACTAAGATTCCCGCAATATAAAATTTCAAAAATGAAAAAAAATAAAAAAATACCTCAAATGTAGAGAACTTCCAGGGTGGGGAATGAGGAGCCACAACAGAACATTCCCCAGATTGCATTTGCAACCAATAAAAATAACAATTTCTAATTAAAAAAAATTCAGCTTTCTTGGTTTTGACAAATAAAAACCAAGATTTTGCTGAATAATAAAGAAAATTCAAACAATTGAGGAGGAGGATGAAAATTATAAAGAACATTCAAATTTCCAAAAACCAGATTAATGAAAAATAATGTTCTTTTTTTATTAAAAAAAAAAACTCAAAAAATTAGTAAAATATAATTTTTGGCAAACTCTTGAACCTCTATAGGTTGTAGAAAAATCCCCATGGACAAGCTTTGAATTTTTTTTTTCTCTTTTGTTTCCAAAAGAGAGAAAAAGAGAAATGAAAGTCAATTTTTTGAAATTATTTTTTTCTTTGTTTTATTTAGGCTCAAGCTGCTTATTTTCCGGGTGTTCAATGTTGTTTTTCCTCTGATTTTGATATAAAAAAAAACTTGGAAAAATTAGTATGAAATAATATTTGGAGATTATTTCAAAATTTGTGTGATTGTTGAATAGGTTCATTATTTCTAGGGAAAATTGTATGAAAAAGCAAACTATTAATTCAAATTAAATGTTATATGCTCAGCCTGCAATGTCCGAAACGGCGCTGAAGTAGTGAATCTATCGGCATCATAGCAGTGGTATACAACTTTGGACCTAACGGCCGGCCTAGTAACCTTTCGGAAGCCACAATTTATTTTAATTGTAATTCGCAACAAACATCCCCTTTTTATCATCTGATTCGGTATACAATTAGTCATTTTATACATTTCAGTATAAAATGTATAAAATGCGTTTGTGTTTGTATAAAACGAGAGAAAAGTGTATATACAAATACAAATACATATATTTTCGTCCTATATACTTATAATTATACAAAAACAGATCTTATTATACAAATTACAATATATAAATGAATTTAATACAAAGTTGAACAATTTGTATAAAATTGGATGTTTGTAGCGAATTATACAAATCAAAAGCTCCATAGCAAACATAAAATTTGTTATGGAGCGCAATTAATCAAACTATAGTTATGACATACAAATATGATTTTTATATTTGATATATGTGAAAGTTGCTCTTTCTAGCTTCAAACTTGAAATATTGAATTTAAAGTTTGATTTTTTTTTTAGGTTTTTAGAGTTTTGTAATTCTTAAAACTTTAATTTTGTAGTTATTTGATGAGTCAAAATACGGGTTTGACATTTAGACATATACGAAGTTGACACATGAAAGTTAAGAGTCTAATCAAATTTAGCTTACGCGTGCAATATTTATTACGTTTGATTATCATCATCTATCCCCTCAAAGATCTGAAGTAATGATATAAGTCAAACTAGCTTCGGAATAACAATAATTAGAAGTGCATCTATGATCAGTCAAGATAAACTTCTTGATCAGTAATTTGAGTTCATTTTTGCGTCATATATATGTAGGTAAATTTGTTAAAAAGTAATGCTTAAAGAGATTGACGTAGATTTTGTTTCTTTAAATTTACCTCAAAAGAAAGCACAAAAAAAGAGAATTTGATATAGATCGGTATCTTTCTTGTAAATATGTATCTGCATTAATTGTTTACGTCAAATCAATAATAATAATAGTAATAAAAATGAATAGGTCCTACCAAGTTTTGAACTCGGGTTAGTGGATTCAGAGTCCAATGTCCTGACCACTAGACCATAAGACCAATTTGTACCAAATGCACAAAATAAGCAATTTGATGTCATTGTTTTAGAATGACGTGCAATTAAACAAATTTGAAAAGAGAAAAAAGCCTAAAATAATACTAGTGTTTTCACGTGGAGTATTAATAGTCCTTTATGTTTGTAGTATTAGTGCATTTTTCTTACTCCTTCGAACTTTTGCCTATTTTTTAACATTGATTTTGTTCACAATTTTATGTATGAATGTTCAATCGTCTTTTTATATATTTAGTAGAAATAATAATAGGGCAAACTACATAAATCCCACTAGTTTAGATCCTAATTACTAAGATTCCCGATAGTTTCAAATATTACTTCTTCTACCATATTTCATGCTTAGGATACACGAGTTTGAATCTGTGAGATACATGTATTTGCCGAATTTTAAAATCGAGATACATATTTTATTTGTTTAAATTAATTGGTTGTAACTGATTTCCTTAATTAGAAGAGTAATTGAGGATTTTCAGAATCGATGGATTTTTAATTTTAGAAATTTAAATTAATCAAATCCCTTAATATAAGACGGAAATCAAGGAGTATTGTATATATGTTTAATTAATTTTATTTTATTATTCTTTGAAATAATAAATCCATTAATATTATTAATAAAAGACAAAAAACATGTATATCTTGGTCATTTAATTTGATTAATTTCATTTTATTACTCTTAAAATAATAAATACAATTATTTGATGTATCTATTGGATACAAACGAAACATTTAGATACATGAGTATCATACAAGTACATTCATATGTATCATAGAAGTATTTAATATTAATTTCGTGTATTTATTATATGTGTAAAGTATTTTAGTTTCATGTTTCTATTTATATGACCTAATATTAATTTCATGTATCTATTTATATGATCTAATTTTAATTTCGTGTATCTTTTATATGTATCTAGTATTAATTTGATGTACCAATTATCAATTTCATACATTATATTCAAAAACATGTATCTCAGATACATAGTAAGCGTATACATATAATTATGTATATCTAAATATGGAATGTAATTGAAACACATGAATGTAGGAATAAATCACGAGTGTAGAGTATTTGTCTTATCATTTATCCAAAAAAAAAGTAAAAAAATTTAAAATTATTTCCTTTTTAGCATCTGAATTTTTTTCTCATAGAGACATATAATTTTAACTTAGACACACGAAGTCTTAACTAGATATATATACAGTTGATATGTATTCAACATTGTTGCACTTGATGTGTATCTAATGATATATTTGTTCTGTTAATTAAAGCTTTGCGTAATTCTTCCATCTTGATTGGGTTGTTCCTATATTTAATCTATTCTCGGGTTGAATCTTGGCGGATGAAGAGTCAGTCCCTGCAATGAGAAATTCATAAGTGAAAATAAACAAATAAAAGTTGTTTAATTTAGTATAATATTGTTAATGCATAGTACATTTAACAAGAATCATCCGATTTCGAGAATGGTCAGTCACTTAAATGTTTGAGAAACAATAAAATTAAAAAATATAAAGCCTAATTGTAAAAGTTTTTTAAAAATTGAACTTCAAAACATTATGAACTTTAACTCAGACACAATACTAAGATAAATAAAAGTAATAAAACAATAGAAATAAACCTACATGCATTATGCTGATTTGAATATGCAAACATGTATCGAGAGAATAAAAGAAAAAGAGAGAGAAGATGAAGGAAGAAAGATGGTTGGGTGGGGGTCGGGGTAATGTCAGATGTAAGAAAGAGGAATGGGTAGGGATGGGGGCAATGCCAGATGTGAGGAGGGAGAAGAAAGAGGAATGAGTGGGGGTGGGGGGCAACGACAGATGGAAGAAAGAGGGAGAAGGAAAGAGGGTTGGTGGACGTTTGGGAGGGGGAAATTCGATGGATCATTAAGGAATTTAAATTTAAGATAATTATTCAATATCATATTTAAGGAGTTTGTGTATCTGATTAAATCTTTTAAAATATATGGTATAAATATTAAAAGTGATAGTATATGTAATTATTTTAAACTAAAGGTAATATAGTATATATGGTAGTGATATATGTGTAGTTAAGTAGTTTTTCCATAATAGGGGGCTTTCATTTGAGAGAAGGTGAGAAGATGAACGCCTTATTTTGTTCAGTAAAAATATTTTACAACTATATAAATTAAGAACCTACATTTGCTTGTTGAACTATATCAATTTATTATTGACATAAGATGTTGCAAGAAAAGAAAAAAAATTCTATTATTACACGTGAAATATATGAATCTCTCTATTTTAATAATAATAAAAAAGACAAGTTTAACGACGGTTTTATGATCACTTTTGGTTTGTCGTCAAGCTTGTGGAAGAGATTATTTATACCAAGTGGAAGGAATATAGTTAAAAATAGCTAGTTATTACTAGTGTTAACTAATGATCTTTGTAAAATTGTATGTGTTTTTAAAATTTATGATAACATTTAATCACAAGCATTTTATTATAAAAGAACACGGAGATATGAGATTTATTAATACGACGCGCCTTAGAATATACTGATACCTCCCTTGTTTTTGATTTATAATTTTGCTCATTTGGTAAGATTAGATATATAAATATTAATTGGAAAAGCTGATAATTTTCACAAATAGTAGAATTTTTATATTTACAAAAAAAAAAAAAAGTATAACTTAAAAAAAATCTAAATTAGATATTCAAACAAAGTTTTAATTTCAAATCAACATAAATATAAATTATTAATTTTAAATCATTTTTGGACTTAACAATTGCTCTGAATTTGGGGCAGTAAATATTGATTATTTATGAGCAAATGGTGCCTATAATAATGTATTTATGACAAACCATTATGATAAGGTATAAAAGATTTGGTCGACAATAATTAATTATGACAGTGTGAAAGAGGCCCTATTAGTATTTCTATTGGATGATAATATAGTTGATTATACACTCCAACCATACATGGTATGTTTTATTTATTTGGATTAAAATAATAATTATTTCTACTATATTTTCAATCAAAAGAATATTTTTATTGATGATATAGAGACATATAATCTTGATATGTGTTCCAAATTAATTATTTTGGTCCTACTATACAGGTGTGCATGAGTCATGTTGAATTTAATATTGACAGAGTTAGGTGGAAATTCGTGGGTTCAGACGAATCCAATTGTGTTAGCCTTTACTGTAGATCTTGTATTTGTACTAAAAAATTATATATATAAACTTGTGAACCCCTAATAAAATTAATTGACGGTTTACTACTAAGAAAGAGACCGTGGAAATGCTTTTAACATTAGAGTTATGGGTTCGAACCCCCTCTCTCTTTTTTATAAGGAAATTTAGAACCCCCAAACTTTTAATTTATAATTGAACCTTGTTATTTAACTGTATTATAATATGGTTTTATTATAATTACAATCATATTATTATTATTATTATTATTATTATTATTATTATTATTATTATTATTATTATTATA